ATCGCATTGCACAGTACGAGTGTCATGAACCAGTAATGTCCTTACAAGTTGTATGTTACATTATCGCATTTCCTAGAATGAATTTCTCTTTCATCTGTTGATCTTATCAAACTTGAGCTTGAGTCACCCAACACGTGTTTGCCTCACTGCTGCTTGTATTTTAAACCCCACTACTTGCAGGTCAACACAAACAGTGCGAAATGCGAGCCCCATATTCCCCTCCCGCAATCCGTCAGTGGGTGCAATCGCAAGACACCCAGCCACTAAATTGCGACATTGACTGTCAGCGGTTTTCTCGTCGCCGGGGGATTCGCAAAGACAGGGATCAGTCATTCTCTGACACCCTGTCCTTGCACGAACATTTTTGCCTCAATGCAGAAGACCGGAAACTTGCCTTCCATGAGGGTATGTCAGATATAAAAGATGCAGTGCGTATTTGATTCTATATCTACTATCAAGTTTCAACTAACAGTACCAACATTAGGCTACAGGCATGGCTCGCATCGCTGATGCACTCTTCATTGGGTTCGGTCTGCGACCCGAGTGGGATCCAACGCAGCCTCTTCGCACCTCTGATATCACAGTTGATGTTGTTACCACGCGACAGTTCGAGCAGGTTCCTCACTTCAAGCGTGTCGCTGAACGACTACGAGAAACATTTGTTCAGGAAATCGCCATGCTTCACATCTGGCATCTTCAAGACAAGTTGAATAAGGTCACACCTGGACCAGGGTATCGTGTTGACCCAGAGACTCATCGGGTGATGACCAGAAACATTCAGCTTGCTGCAGGACAATCACTCCCCGATGTCGCAACCAATGCAGGCCACGCAGCCCAGCAATCATCAGTCACACCAACTCCCACTCAGCATCGCTCGCAGTCACAGTCACCACACATCGTTTTGACACCTCCCACAGCAAGTTCTCAGCACATTGACCTTATCGAGCCTCGCACATCTCCCAGCACGCATGTTGGCCTGAATGAGCCTCGCCCATCTCATGCACCTCGCCCATCTCCCAGCACTCGCACATCTCCCAGCACTCGCACATCTCGTGCACCTCACACGTCACCCAGCACGCATGTTGGCCTGAATGAGCCTCGCACATCTCGTGCACCTCACACATCTCCTAGCACGCATGTTGGCCTTATTGAGCCTCACTCGCCAATCCAGCGCCGTAGCGGGGGCCTGCGGTACGACCAATGTAATACTGCTATGACTCGTGGAACGGGGGATTCATGGGTGCCACTTGTAGCACCAGCAACTGTATTCGTGCCCACATCTACACCCCCATCATCACGCACTCTGACTCAACATCGCAGTCCTGCTGTCGTTTCCACTGAATCCAGCTCGGATGATAGCTCGGATGATAGTTTGGATGTCTCTGATGTGTCCGCCACTGCTCTGAGTCATAGAGCCCTAGCCGCTCCAAATCATAGCCCTTCTAGCCGCCCATCTTGGATTGTGACACCGCCAGGGTCACCATCTGGAAATCTACAACCCCCGCCAGCTTACTACGTTAATCCTGATATGTCATCCTTCAACTTCACGTTACCGGTACAAGACTTTTTCCGCGCACGTGTTGTGTCACCGAGCACATTATGCTCAATCGACATGATTCTTGATTACGGTGCAGACTGTTGGTATGCTCATTTTGTGGAGGTTGGATTGAGTCATGCAGATGCAATTGAACTGCGCAGCCTAATCATAGAAGGACTTTCTAACGAGGAGCTTGATGTAGTTCTCATTGGTGCTCAGCGTTTGTAAGTAAATTTGCTTAAACGAATTGTGATGCGATATAATCATGTTACGTTTGACTGTTGATATATTTCGCCTTGTCATCCCTGTCCGCTACGTCAAACCGAGTACTAACTTAGCATGTGAAGGTCCGGTGAAGGGTCAAGCTGGATTATTTTTCCTTCTTCAAGTTGTCAAGTTTTGACTTTTCTACTGCGCGTGTACACGACAATGGCTCCTATCACTCAGAAAACGAAAGCTGCGAGGACTCAAGAACAACGGAAGCTTTCAAAGGTGAACTCCGATGCTATGTGGGCCGATATTGAGTCAGGACGCACCGAGTACCTCAAAATCATCGAGTCGCTGGCTGAAAAATACAACATGTTTGTCATTTTTTTGTTTCATTCAGCTTAACCTCACTCCATCTCACACAGGTCAATAGACTGGATGTCAGGTCAGATGTATCTCGGTGGCAAACTTCTAAAGAGAAACCGAACTGCCGGTGTTTTCAACGCCTTTGTACGCAGAAAGATGCATGAACGCAAGGAAAACGGTGAGTACATGTGCGTGATTTATCTAACAGTGATATATTCTATTTCTATTAGGTCTACCCATGGGTCGCGACGCGCTCGCACTTGTCACCAAGCAAGTCAGCAGGTCTGGTGAGTGGAAGAATCTCGACTCCGACGATGAAGACGACCTCCTGAGAGACATGCAAAATGAGAAGGAGATGAAGGCTAATGTTAAAGTAACTGGCCGTGAAGCAGCATCTGACATTGAGAACACGCTGGCTCGTGTTCAGCCAGAGGTAAGGTTTTCCCTCAGCTTTTGCTGGTGTACCACTAATGTCTACTACCAGTTACTCGGCCTCGAGAAGCGTACCGGGTGTAATATTATGTGGATTCTTGCCCGTGGCAAAATCAGCGACTCCTTCATTCCACGTAGCTATGCCTCCGAACCTCTCCAAACAGCATTCCTCCACCTATACAAATCAACCATCGAGTCGGTGGGTATGCAAACCGATGCCTACATTGCATCGGGAGCTGCTGGTGTTATCAAGATGACGACGGGACGCAACACAACGAAGCTACGAGGACAAGTTCGAGAAATGATCCGGGTTGGCATGCGTAAGTCTTCATAAATTTTGTTCATATACATGTGATTGATTGATTCATTGTAATAGATGAAATTTTAACTAAAAATAGAGGCGTCTCCGAGGATTCAGTCCCCAGCGTCGCTTACAACTCATATGATGCCTTCGTCGTCAAATGGGGGGTGGAATTGAGTGGCTGGACAGAGGGCGAAGTCCGGAACCCTGGTAACATCACTTCGTCTGTCGGACTTGCACGTCTGCATGCTGCACTAAAGAACGACGAATGCTATTGGCGTGAGCTTACTCAAGATGAGTGGGAGGCAAAGAAGGAGTCGTTCGAGCAGCAAGTTCTCAACGGCACGATCAAAGGACGCGCTGCACGTTCCGACAAGGGTATCAGTCGAAAGAGAGGTTCAAAACAGACCCATAAAAGTCGCGAGACTGTGAATACTGATGGATCAGAGGACGAGAACAACCAGGAGAATGGAGACGAAGAACCGGAGACGATCAACACACAGGAACAACACCAGGAACTCAATGGCAACCAACGCGAAGACACCCACCTGGAGAACGACATCACTATGACCGATGATATGATGCTGCGACCAGATTCCCTCGGTACTCTTCCTACACCTCCGCTTGATTATGACCTGGATCCCTTTGATCCCGAAGTCCTCCGCATGTTCCTCGAGAGCCAGGATCTTCCCTATGAGCCTTTGCATGGCGCAGGCACCAGCACCCTTACTCCAGCTGATGGTTATGTATTCTAGTGCTTTTTTTCATCTCCTGGCTTTGATATATGAGCTCCTGTTGGCCTTCAAGTTGTTCTCTTGTTTGCACCTAATATATCCTGCATTTCCGTCCTTCTAGTCTATTATATTGTGTATAGTGTTTCTTACATGCTTTATACTAAGAGTCTTACAGAAATAGAACAGTTTTGCACAGTATCTTGAGCTCGTTGTGTCCGACGACGAGCAGCACGGCTGTCAAAACATAAGTCACGGGACTCGTGGGAGACGTTGTTGATCAAACGATAAGTCACGGGACTCGTGGGACGCGTTGTTATTGATCTAATCAATTATTGTTATCTATTTAAGTCACGGGACTCGTGGGACGCGTTGTTATTAATCTAATCATTATCAGGGAGATTATCGTTATCTATTGTTATCTAAATGATCTAATCCCCAGGCTATGTACACCTGAAGTACCGAGGTAACGCTGGTGGTATTGCTGGTGTAGCGGAGTAATGGATTCGAGGGTTATAACCCCCGGAGACCAAATTAGGCACCGAGCTATATAAAGGTGAGATCTTATGTCACTCAGGTGTCCTTCATGCGAGCTCGGGTCAGTAAAACATTACATGTCTCACTACACTAGGCCTGACGGGGCTGCATGAATGGAAGCTTCAGTATCGGAGGCCCTGGATCTTCAATTCAGCTCGGGTCAGTGAGATATGAACAGCTTGCATGGAATCTACATTTTTTCATTGTCGTTGACCCTAGATATTGATTGAAAGGGGTTAGTAGGATCTTTCCAAGCCGTGACTCGCGTTCGTATGTGACACGTGGCCCCGGTGCTCTACCAATGCCATGTCACGGTAGCCCCACAAGTCAGACCACCTGAGTGACATAAGATCTCACCTTTATATAGCTCGGTGCCTAATTTGGTCTCCGGGGGTTATAACCCTCGAATCCATTACTCCGCTACACCAGCAATACCACCAGCGTTACCTCGGTACTTCAGGTGTACATAGCCTGGGGATTAGATCATTTAGATAACAATAGATAACGATAATCTCCCTGATAATGATTAGATTAATAACAACGCGTCCCACGAGTCCCGTGACTTAAATAGATAACAATAATTGATTAGATCAATAACAACGCGTCCCACGAGTCCCGTGACTTATCGTTTGATCAACAACGTCTCCCACGAGTCCCGTGACTTATGTTTTGACAGCCGTGCTGCTCGTCGTCGGACACAACGAGCTCAAGATACTGTGCAAAACTGTTCTATTTCTGTAAGACTCTTAGTATAAAGCATGTAAGAAACACTATACACAATATAATAGACTAGAAGGACGGAAATGCAGGATATATTAGGTGCAAACAAGAGAACAACTTGAAGGCCAACAGGAGCTCATATATCAAAGCCAGGAGATGAAAAAAAGCACTAGAATACATAACCATCAGCTGGAGTAAGGGTGCTGGTGCCTGCGCCATGCAAAGGCTCATAGGGAAGATCCTGGCTCTCGAGGAACATGCGGAGGACTTCGGGATCAAAGGGATCCAGGTCATAATCAAGCGGAGGTGTAGGAAGAGTACCGAGGGAATCTGGTCGCAGCATCATATCATCGGTCATAGTGATGTCGTTCTCCAGGTGGGTGTCTTCGCGTTGGTTGCCATTGAGTTCCTGGTGTTGTTCCTGTGTGTTGATCGTCTCCGGTTCTTCGTCTCCATTCTCCTGGTTGTTCTCGTCCTCTGATCCATCAGTATTCACAGTCTCGCGACTTTTATGGGTCTGTTTTGAACCTCTCTTTCGACTGATACCCTTGTCGGAACGTGCAGCGCGTCCTTTGATCGTGCCGTTGAGAACTTGCTGCTCGAACGACTCCTTCTTTGCCTCCCACTCATCTTGAGTAAGCTCACGCCAATAGCATTCGTCGTTCTTTAGTGCAGCATCAGACGTGCAAGTCCGACAGACGAAGTGATGTTGACAGGGGTTCCGGACTTCGCCCTCTGTCAGCCACTCAATTCCACCCCCCATTTGACGACGAAGGCAAGTCATAATGAGTTGGTAAGCCACGCTGGGGACTGAATCCTCGGAGACGCCTCTATTTTAGTTAAAATTTCATCTATTACAATGAATCAATCAATCACATGTATATGAACAAAATTTTATGAAGACTTACGAATGCCAACCCGGGATCATTTCTCGAACTTGTCCTCGTAGCTTCGTTGTGTTGCGTCCCGTCGTCATCTTGATAACACCAGCAGCTCCCGATGCAAATGGTAGGCATCGGTTTGCATCCCACCTGACTCGATGGTTGATTTGTTAGAGGTGGAGGAATGCTGTTTGGAGAGGTTCGGAGGCATAGCTA